TTGCGAAGCCGCGCGCCCGCGGGGCGCGGCGGTGCAGCACGCCCTCGCGCCGTGCCCCGGCCTTGGCGGCGCGCCCCGGGGGGGCGGGGCTGGAGGCGGAGGGGGGCAGAGGGGCTCCCTCCTCCCTCCTCCCTCCTCTCTTTCCTCCCTCCTCCTCCTCCCTCCTTCTCCTCCTCCTCCTCCTCCTCCTCCTCCTCCTCCTCCTCCTCCTCCCTCCTCCCTCCTCCTCCTCCTCCTCCTCCTCCTCCTCTTCTCCTCCCTCCTCCCTCCTCCCTGCCTTTAAGGCTCAGAAGCCTCAGAAGGCCCTCGGCCTCCCGAGGAGTACAATTCCCAAGCCCTCGCCGGAGCCACAGATGTCTGGGAGAAGCGGGTCGGGCTGGGAGGGTGGGGGTCTGGGAGACGTGATCGTACAGGTGGGGGCGCGTATCGAGAGACCATCTGCTTTTCATCAGGGTATACCCTGGGTTGCTTCGCTCCGCGCTCTGCACGGTGACTTTGCGCTGCCGTTGAGGAAGCTACTGCGTTCAGGATGCTCCGGGTCCCCCCTCGGGTGCACCTTGCGTGCGGGTTTTCAGGGTTGGGTTTGATGCGAAGGTTTCTTGCGGCCGCGCCCGCACTGAATCATCCATGTTGCCGCGCATGTTGAAGGTGCTCATTTCGCGGTCGTGCCCTGTACCTCTCCAGCCCCCTCCTCCCAACACGAGGACTGTCTTTCTCAACAGAGGGCCTCTGATCGGATGTTGCTAGAAGTGCCCCTGGCCCAGGGTGCCCCCAGGATTTCAAGGGAGGCCCAAAAACTCAGGAGGGGGGAAAAACACAGACACAGATACACATACTCGTCGATCCCAATGAACATATCGGAAAATATCGGCAGCAGGGGCGAAGACGGAAATCCAGAAAACATGGATAACCACGGTGAAACTCTGGGATTTGTGTGTATTTATTTGTGTGTGTCCCTGGGCCGGTTCGAAACTGGCATATCCAGAGTACCCCTTCTGGAGGCCCCGAGGGGCCCCCGGGGGCTCCAAGATATGGAGCGTGGACTAGTGAATTGTCCGTTTTCGGTTCTCGAGATGGCGCCGTGGTCGTTATTTTCCAGGCTTGCGCCCGCCAGGTTTGGGCCTCTGGCCACGTTTTACTAAAGGGGGGTCTGTCCATCCCCGACATATCCAGAGTACCCCCTCTGGAGGCCCCGAGGGGCCCCCGGGGGCTCCAAGACATGGAGCGCGCAGAGCTGGGGACGTCTCGGACCACGGGCACCTGCAGCGGCCCCCGGTCTCCGCAGGCCCCGCCGTCTGCCGAGAGAACCTGCCGGCGACGACGACGAGAACGAGGACGGCGATGGCGGCGAACAGGGAGGCGGCAGCTTGAAGGTCTGTATTTCCTCCAGGGTGACGAGAAGGAGGAGGAGGAGGAGCTCCCCCTCCCCCGCCCCCTCCTCCTCCTCCTCCTCTCTCCTCCTCCTCCTCCTCCTCCTCCTCCTCCCTCCTCCTCCTCCTCCCCCTCCTCCCCCTCCTCCTCCTCCTCCTCCTCCTCCTCCTCCTCCTCCTCCTCCTCCTCCTCCTCCTCCTCCTCCCCCTCCTCCCCCTCCTCCCCCTCGTCGCCGTCGTCCTCCTCCTCCTCCTGAACAGAGTCTCTGGCGAAGAGGGCGGCGGCGAGCAGGCCGGCGAACAGGGCAGGGGCGGAGAGGGCGGCGGCGAACAGGGCCAGGGTTAGGTCGGGCCTGTCCCTCTACAGGAGGAAGATACAAGAACAGTAAGAAGAACATAGTCCAGGGACGATGTCTGGATGATTCGCATTTTTGGAGGATTGTTCAAACAGTTCTTCCATTTCTCGCACGCAATCCCGCCTGTAGGGGGACGTGCGTGCCCGACCTGAGGCCAGGGCGCGCAGGGCGGCGGCGAACAGGGCCGGGGGCGAGCAGGGCGGCGGCGAGCAGGGCCGCCTCCCCCCGCTCTTCCCCTCTCGGCTAAAGTCGGGCTTATCCCCCATACAGGGGGATCTTCGACGAAACAAATATACAATACCCCCGAAATAGTAAACACAATTATCCAAATGCGACCCTACCTAGGAGTTGGAGCATTTAGGAAAGCAGCATCTACATGCTGCGCTATGCTGCGCTATGATGCGCTATGCTATGCTATGCTGCGCTATGCTGTGCTATGCTATGCTATGCTATGCTTTGCCATGCTCCGCTATGCTGCGCTATGCTGCGCTGCGCTATGCTATGCTATGCTATGCTATGCTATGCTATGCTAGGGTACGCTTGGCTGCGCTGTGTTATGCTAGGCTATGCTACGCTATGCTATGCTGCTCTATGACATGCTATGCTATGCTATGCTGCGCTATGCTATGCTATGCTATGCTATGATATGCTATGCTGTACTATGCTGTGATGTGCTGCGCTATGCTAGGCTATGCTATGATATGCTATGCTGCGCTATGCTATGCTATGCTATGCTATGCTATGCTATGCTGCGCTATGCTACGCTATGCTGTGTTGTGCTATGCTATGCTATGCTGCGCTGTGCTATGCTAAGCACTGCTATGCTATGCTATGCTATGCTGCGCTGTACTATGCTATGTTATGATGTGATCTGATATGTTATTCTGAGCTATGCTCTGCTCTGCTATGTGTTATGCTGGGCTATGCGATGCTATGCTATGCTGTGCTAATGCTGCGCTGCGCTATGTTGCGCTAAGCTAAGCTAAGGTAAACTAAGCTATGCTAGGCTAAGCTAAGCTAAACTAGGTCAGGCTAAGTTAAGCTAAGCTAAGCTAAACTAAGCCAAGCCAAGTTAAGCTCAGCTAAGCTAAGCTAAGATGAGATAAGCTAAGCTAAGCTAAACTAAGCTAGGCTAGGCACAGCTAAACTAAGCTAAGCTAAGCTTAGCTAAGCTGGGTGAACCCAGGGGGCGCAACTGGGGAAACCGCGGGGCGGATGCCGGGGGAACCGCCCGGGGCGAGCCCCACTGCCTGGCCCTTTAAGCCTAATAGTCAGAACCCTTCTAGGCAGAGCCTGGGTAGGGCACTGAGGTAAGATGAAGCCAAGCTAAGGTAAGATGAAATAAGCTAAGCTAAGATGAGATATGCAACGCGAAGCTAAGGGAACGTCACTAGGGGAACCGCGGGGCTGATGCCGGGGGAACCGCCCGGGGCGTGCCCCATTGCCCGGCCCTTTAAGCCTAATAGTAAGAACCCTTCTAGGCAGAGCCTAGGTCTGGAAATAGTCCAGACATAGTCTGGGGACTGTTTTTTGAATCTGTTTTGACCTTTTGGGGGTATTTTTGGTGTATTTTTTTTTTTTTTATTTTTCGTCGATAATCCCCCTGTGAGGGGACAGGCCCGACTTAATGCCAGGCTCCCTGGCCGTCCAGGACGACCCAGGAGGACCAGCTGGCCCCAGGGGAGGCGTCGAGACCTCTGGCCGGGGAAGCGCATCATTAAGTCGGGCCTGTCCCCCTACAGGGGTATTTTGGGGGTATTATTTTTTAAAAACTTTTGGTCGAACATCCCCCTGTGGGGGGACACGCCCGACATAGCTCTCGGCGCGGCGCCCGTGGGCGGCTCGAGGCGCGGCCGCTGGGCCTCGGCGGCGGGTCCCCCTCGCAGATAACCTGTAGCGGGAGGGTGGGGTGGGAGGGTTTCTCTCCGAAGGGCTTGGGCGACCCGTCCTCCTCCGCCTCCTCCTCCTCCTCCTCGTCCTCCTCCATCTCCTCATCCCCTCCCCCTCCTCCACCTCCACCTCCTTCTCCTCCTCTTCCTCCTCCTCCTCCTTTTCCTCTTCCTCCTCATCCCCCCCCCCTCCTCCACCTCCCCTCCTTCCCTCCTCCTCCTCCTCCTCCTCCTTTTCCTTTTCCTCCTCCTCCTCCTCCTCCTCCTCCTCCTCCTCCTCCTCCTCGGGTCGCCTACGGCCCCGGGGGAACCGTGCAGGGTGGGGGTCGCGCCCCGCGCCCGCGTGTTGGGCGGAGAGGTCGTGACGTCGTGGGCAGTCCGCCACGCACAGAGCCCAGGCCCCATTCAAGCAGTGGCGGGGCGCCCTGGCTTGCCTATAGGCCCACCAGAGAGTGTTCTGAGAACCTTCTGTGGCGTGCACGAGATGTTCTTACAACACGTCTGGCTGGGGCTGTGTTGTTTTGACAGATCGGCTTCATGTTCTAAGAACGTGGTTCTTGTTACTTGGACATTTGTGGGTTCGAAGAGCATGTCGTGGTAGGCTGACAGGGATGCCGGGACGGTCGGCTCCTGCTCAACCCCTCGAGGCATGAACAAAAAGACGACGGAAGGGTTTTCGCTACATTTTCGGCCTCGGGGGGCCGTCACCAGGTCTCGGGGCTGTCAGAAACGACTCAGGATGAGGCACCAGTCCCGGGGAATGGGTCGAGGCTTCTGGGGGCCGACGTTATGAACAAATCATGACGTCGGGGGTCTGGGTCAGCAACGCGCAGGATAGGGCTGGGGAAGGGGAGGGGCTAAGGTAGGGATCCGAGCGGTTCCCCAGGGAGAAGCTAGGGATTTCTAGGAACCCGAGAGTTTCCTAAGGATCCAGGCGGTTCCCTCGGGGAAATGCCAGGGACTTCCCGTGATCCGGGCGTTGCTCCAAGGAAGTGCAAGGGATTCTTAGGAATCCGAGGGCGTCTTAGAACAAATCCTACTTCTTAGAAGGCGCGGGCCATATCTGTGGATGTGGAGCCGGCGCCTTCTGAGGAGCAGCATCCTTCGAAGAAGCCTTCCCCCCTCCCCCTATCTCCTTGTAAGCGCCGCAAAGGTCGAGCGGTCCCGACTTGATCTTCGTGATCGGTCTCGGACAGCGCATCGATCTGCGAGGGTCATGGGGCCCGAGGTGGGGATTCCAGAGGCGGGACGTCAGAAAGTTGGTCTCGCTGGTCCAGTTCCCCACCGCAGGCTCGGACATATATGGGATATGCCGTGGCACGGGGGCTAGACCTGAACGCGTGCCGTGGACAGCAGGGTCAGAGGAGCCCCGGCGGCGTGGTCAGGACCTCGAGGGAGCGCTGCAGGTGGCGGCGGACCCGTCGACCATGCTGACGGGGCTCTCGTTCTTCGAGTTCCAGGTCCGCTACGACAAGGGAGGCTCCTCGGGGCGGGCGAGAGCAGGGCTCGGAGCGGGGAGGAGAAGAGGCGTGGACAGACCGCGATAGCAGTCAGATGGCAATTGGGGCGCCGAAGGTCGCGGGAGTGTGCCGTTGCAGTGTTGGGTGCGCCGTTGGCAAGGCTGATGTGCAAGTAGGTTGTACAAGGAACAGTGGCTGCTTTGTGCAATTCTGGCACGTCTTCCGATCTCCGGACGTTCGCGGGAGCAGAGGGCTGAACCAGTGCAAAAAAGCTCGGCCGAGACTTCGCGCGGGGTGTGCAGAAGCAATCCGCCCCGGTGCAATAAGCAGAGAGAATGGGCTCCGATCGCCCTCCCAGCAGGTGCCCCCCCCTCTCGCCAGGAAGTGCTTCAAAGTGTAGGTCGAGGTAAGTCTAATCACAACGCTGGTGGCTTGAATGGGAGACCCTGAACGTTTCGGTTAAAGTTTGATTTGATTGGCCATGGCTTTCGCCGATACTGAAGTTTCGGAGCCAATGCTTTGCACATGGGGGCTGGGTCAGTGTAAGGCTGTCAGCATAACGCGGTCGCCGACATCATGTTCAGTAATTGTTGGCCTCTCCACTCCGACTGTCGTCCCTCTCCCCAGGCTTTCCAAAAATCAGAAAGGATTATCTGATGGTCTTTTTCATTGGTTTTGGCGTCTTGGGGCGGCCTCTGGGGCTTCAAATACTGCGCATGAGGCCTCCAAGAGAGCCCCAGGGCGGCCTATGGGACCATCTTTAGGGCATGTTGGAAGCTTGTATTCCGAACTATGTTCCCGAGGCCTCGGGAAATCCGTAGACAGTCCTCAGCACTTCAGGCACTTCACATCGCCTTCAAGCACTGAGGTGCGGCATAGGTGTTTTCCGAGTGCTTGTGCGCATCGGTTTATTTCGAGGCTTCTGGTCACTGAGCTGCACTGTGGGTGCGGCGTCGCCGAGGCTCAGAGATGGACTTCGGCATGTTCGAGCTGGGCAAGGAGGCCATCTCCAAAGTGGACGTCGGAAGTGGGTCGTACAACGCCTGGCGGGGAGCAGCAGGGTTGCAATCACTGTCCTACTTGACAGCGCACGGAGCATTCAGTCGAACGCACGAGTACTCGCGCCCAAATCGCTGCGAGTCAGTGATGAAGCGGGCTGCGCCCGAACGACTATCGCCCGAAGCAGCTCCTCTGGAGCCTGCCTCGACGTCGGCTTGCGTGAACGCCTTGCACGGCGCAGGCGAGATGGTTTTGTGCTCGCCCTGTTTCGCAGGCTTAGAGGTTGACACCAACACCAATTTCGGTGGTGTGTCTCCACCGAGGGAAGAAGATCCCGATCCCGGTGATGGTGGCAATATTCTGGCTTCCAAGGTGACCGAAATATTACATACCACCAACACCGACATCTAGGATCACCTTCCCCCTGTGGAGTCAAACCCCTGTGTTGGTGTTGGTGCCAATTTCCAGGCCCCCTTGTGTGCACGCCCTGCACGGCGCAGGTGAGATGGTTTTGTGCTCGCCCTGTTGTCGTGTACAGTCAAAAACCTAAAAAGGACGCGCGATTTTGCTCAGGGTACCCTTGCGTCCTTGCTCTTCCTTGCTCTTGCGTCCTTGGGGTTTTCGTCGTCCGCCGCCCCAGAAATCCCAACTCCGGCTTCCAAGGGTCTTGCGTCCTTACCGCGCGTCCTTGTTAGCGTTTTTGACTGTACGCGTGCACCTGGGCAGCGGACACGCCCGTGCCCACGGGGCGGCCCGGGGGCTCCCCCCCCCTCTCCAGCACGCCGCGCTGCTTCGGCACCCTGCGCTCCAGCACGCCGGGGTCCGAGCAGGCGGGGTCAAAATAACACACACAACAAAAAACACACACACACAAACAAACACACAAAAACATACAAGCAACACACAACACAAACAAAGCACACAAAGCAACACACACAACACACACACAAAAACACACACACACACACACCGTGGGTGTTTTTTTGTTGTGTGTGTGTGTGTGTTTGTGTGTTTGTGTGTGTGTGTGTGTGTTTGTGTTTTTTTTACTGGGAACGCGCCGCATCGCCGATGCATCGGCGATGCACCGCCGAGGCATCCGCGACGTCGGCACTGCACCGGCGCCATCGGCGCGAGGAGCCTCGGGCCCCACACCGCGCCGCCTCGCCGAGGCGTGGGCGATGTGCTCTCTGTGGGGCCCGCGTCTCCCCGGGGCAGCGGGGCCCCGAGGGGGGCAGCTGCCGGCCTCAGTTCGGGAGGGGGGGGACAAAAACATAGAGACACAAGGAATCGTCAGTTCCAAGGAAGATATGGGACAATCTGGGGAAATTTGGGGGAAGACGAAGGCCCAAGAAGTATGGGAAGGTATGGGGAGTCCTGGAATCTGTGCTCTTTTGTGTGTGTGTGTGTGTGTGTGTGTGTCCCTGGGCCCCTCTACTGGTGCTGGCCTCCCGTGTCCCGTGCCTGGTCCAACGCGGGCCGCGTCCTTGGGCACACCGCCTGCCCCCGCCGTTCGATGCGGAGGGGGCAGGGGGGAGGGGGCAGGGGGGGGGGAGGAGGAGGAGGAGGAGGAGGAGGAGGAGGAGGAGGAGGAGGAGGAGGAGGAGGAGGAGGAGGAGGAGGAGGAGGAGCAGTGGCCATGCCTTGCGTTGCGCCTCCTCGCGACGCTGGCAGCGCCATGGCCCCTCCAGCCCGCGCCGCCGCCGCATACAACGCCGAGGATCCTCGCGCTGCCTGGAGTCCCCAGCGGCCGACCAGCAGAAGGCCTTCCTGGGTGCCATCCGCCGATTACCGCAGGCGGATTTCTCGGCGGCGGGCACTTGCCGGGACCTTTTTGGCAGCCTGACCCGGCTGGTCGAAGTGCAAGGCTTTCCTCCTTTCCTTGCCGTGGTGCTTCGCCTTCACCCCCACGGCTGCCAATCCGGCAGCCGGCCTCTGCACACCACACGGTGCGACGGCAGCTCCCCGTGCAGCTGGCTTGTGCCCTCCACCCGCTGCTGGGCTGCGACGCGGGCAGCATCTGCCTCACTGAGTAGTGGCACTCGCTGCTCCACTTCCTGGGGTCAGGGCCCGACTGGAGGCAGCACCCCGCACCATCCAGGCTCACTCCCTCGCCCTTCGCGACGGCGCCAGGTCCAACGGCCCCTCGCGTGCCACTCCGTGAGATCCGAGGCCACGTTCTCTCTTTCCATCTGGGCGAACTTCCTCGATTTTCCGGTCGGGCCTGGGGACTGTCAGACGTGGATCCCGGACGACCCCCCCCCCCCCCGGGAAGGGATCGGGACACACTGGGGCCGCGGATCGAAAGGAGTACATCGGCGGAGGTCTGGGCTCCCATCGGGCAGAACCGCCCCCTCGCCGCGTGGCTGACCCCAGCCGCCTGCGACGGCCAACTCCATCTCAGGGGCCGCCGCCCTCCCAAGCATCTTTCGCGCCATTCGCTCGCCACTCGCCGCGCGCGGCCGCCTCGGCATTCTCCCCGGCCCATCCGCCAACGCTGACTTCGCTCGCCTCCCACTCGACGGCCGCCCTCCGGGACATGGACGACTACGCTCGGCGGCGCGCAGAGGAGGGCAGGGGGACGGGGCAAGGCCTCTCGGAAGCAGGCTGCTGCTCAGAAGGCGCCGGCCTCCCATCTACAGACAGGGCCCGCGCCCTCTAAGTAGCGGGGGTGCTTCTGCGAAGCCTTCCCCCCTCCCCCACACCCCCCTCCGCGCGTGGCCGAGATGCGCCCTCCCACGGGGTGACCTGGGCCTCGCCGCGCCCTGGACCCCCCCAAAAGGCTCGGGTTCCGTCGCAGCCTCCGGCCGGAGTTTGACCTCCCCCCCGACGACTTCGCCGACGTCCGCACCGCCAGGGAGCCCTCGCTCCGCCTCGTGCCCAGACATCCGCCGAGATGTTTTTGGTTTTGTGCTTCTATCCGTGGCCCCAGAGGTTGCGACCCCTTCCCCGGGGGGTGGTCTTTCGTCCCGGATCCACTCTTGATGGCCCCCGGGCCCGATAACGGGCCCCAGAGGCCGGAATCCACGAAAAAACGCAGGATTGAATAAATCAGATCCTCGGACATTTGGGTCTCCTCCGACGACGTCGCCGACATCCATACCGCCAGGGAGACCTTGTTCCGCCTCGTGGTCCGCCTGGTCAGGTCCGTCCCCGGGAAGATGGGCCACGCGCAGAGGGGGGGAGGGGGAGGGGGGAAGGCTTCTTACAAGCACCCCTGCTTCTTGGAAGGTGCGGGCCTTGTCGATAAATTCAGGGCCAGCGCCTTCTAAGAAGTAGTCTCCTTGTAAGAAGACTCCCCCCCTCCCCCGAACCCCTTGGTCGCTTCGCCTCGTGGTCTGCCTGCCTGGGTCCGTAGCCATTTTGGCTCAAGCAGTTTTGCCTCAAATCCGTAGCGGTGGCTCAGGACAGAAGTTTCTTTGGCGTGAGGGGCTTGCGGCCCGAAGGCAAAGAATTCGGCTCCATCCGGTGGCAAGGCAACCAACTCTTTTCTGATAAGGTATTGCGGGTTTCAAGCCCGCACCCCCTTCGCGAGGCATTACGGCGTGTCTAGTGTGCCGAGACCTGCCTTGCAGGAGACGGCAGTTCTCCTCGGGCTTAGGTACCCCGTGTAGGGGTGCAGCAAGTGCGGCGCCTCGCAGAACGGGGCCAGCATAATTGTGTGCCAGTGCGGCAGCGCAGCGCCGACCAGGATTGCGAACAAAGCGAAGGAGAATGCAGCTCTGTGGGCAGCCAAGCCAATGGACCTCCAGGGAAGGGCAAGGGTAAAGGTACCAAGCAACTCGGCAAGGGCAAAGGCGGTCAGAACAGCAGCGGCCCAAATGCGAGTAGGTTCCAGAAAGTCGAATCCCAGCGTGGGCATGTGCTTCAGGCAATGCAGCCCAGCAAGTCGTCCGCACACGGCAAAGCGAGCGGAGCGGTCCTAACATGCACTGTAGGCAAGAGCTGCGAATGCCTATGCCAGATCTTAATCGTGAGTTGCGCATGCCTGTGATTTTTCCTGATCTTGATCGTGGCCACACGTTCGACCGTGGCCACACGTTCGACCTTCCAGGAGTGACTGGTTTCAATTTTTTATACACTGGAAATCTGCCAGAGGTTGAGACGGATTTCAACGACGGTAGCCATATGCTTGAGACGCTCAATGCAACCGGTGGGAAGCGACCTGCCAAGCAACGTCTGGAGAAGGGTACGGCGAAGGATGTGCGAATGCAGGGGATTGGGCATCTTTCTGCAGACTTGGAGGCGCTTGAGTCAATGTGTGCAGTACACCTTAGGCGATGCTTAATACAACTGAAGTTTTCGGCCAGAGTCTCGATTATTCTTAACGTTTCAATGTAAATCATAAGATTTTAATAGAAATGTGGGGTTTTTTATTCAAGTTCTGAGACTATGAATTTCTTAACCCATGATTTCTTAAGCATTTCGCAGGGTGTACGAGGCTGGAGCATGCGAGCCGTGCCATCCACGGCGACGGCGGGCCGCGACACCTCCGCGGGCTTTTGCTGTGTTCGCGAGGACTGGCCTCGGCCTCGGAGCGTCAGCCGTCGGGCGTGGAGTTGCGCGTGCGCACCGGCCACGGCGAGCCGAGCCGGCCGACCTGCCGGGCCGGCCTGCGATCGCGGCGTGCACAGCGTCTACCTCCTCCTCCTCCTCCTCCTCCTCCTCCTCCTCCTCCTCCTCCTCCTCCCCTCCTCCTCCTCCTCCTCCCCCTCCTCCCCCTCCTCCTCCTCGCCCTCCTCCCCCTCCTCCTCCTCGCCCCTCGCTTCTCCTCCTCGCCCTCCTCCCCGTCCCCCCCCCCGCTCCGCGCTCGGGGGCGGTCCTCGGAGCGTTGGGGGGGCCCTGCCCCTCTTGCGCGGGAGGCTGGGGCCTGGGCCCCGACGCCCTGGGAGGCCTCGGAGTTGCCCCCCTGCTGCTGAGTTGCGCGCGCCGGCGCCAGCGGTGCCTGCGTGCAGAGCGGGAGCAGGTTCTCCTCCTCCTCCTCCTCCTCCTCCTCCTCCTCCTCCTCCTCCTCCTCCTCCTCCTCCCCCTCCCCTCCTGCTCCTCCTCC